TTACCCAACCGCTCAATCCAGCAAGGTTTGGTCTCTGCCATTTGTTCTCACCCCTCCCTTTCCCTGGCAAGGATGAATAGCAAAGATGAGGAGCACAGTGAACAGCTGTCCCCAGGATTTCTTTGGGTCTCAGGGCCCTGATGCTGACCAGGTAGAAGGCGAGCCCAATTCCTGCCTTATGGCAGTCGACCCTGATTCCTGGCCAGAAACCCAGGCTGGGATTGAGGTGGTAAATCTTCTGAAGAGAGATTTGCCATAGAAGTGCCTGTCATTATAATTTACTGTTATTATTGTGCCCCACTGCAGTGGAAGTTTCTGCAGACATTTTAGGCTGATGTGAGGTAGGAGCTTTTTCAAGTCTCCACAACCAGCCTCCTTTCCTCTTTCCTTGTCCATTTGCACCTATTCCTTCTGTTTTCCAAATGGGAGCTACTCCAGTCAAGCAATGTGCCTCCGTTGCGTGCAAAAGCCCTGATTATTCATGGGTACCACTGAGGTCCTTGCACATTACTCTTTGCTACCAAAGCTGTTTCCACTCCCATTCCAGCCACAAGAGCTGCTTGTTTCCAGCTCTTGGTCTCACCAACACTAGGTGCTGCTGTTTCGGATTCAGACATTCCCTCCTGCTGCCACTTTTCCCTTCCTCGCAGCTTCAAGGTTATCATGTAGTCACCATGAAGTGATTCCCAGGCGTTTACTGCCCACTTAGCCATTTAAAAGCCTGCAAACATATTTCGGAGGCCAACATCCTTCGGGACAAACAATTTTGATGACTTAAATAACTGACCATAGAAGCTCCCTCTCACCCTGTTTTGAACTGATAGACTAATACCATAAATCTCAGTTTTCCAATGTAATGGTACCATGGGAGTTATTTCCCATAAGTAAATATGAGCCATATAGTATCAAGGAAAAAGGAGTCTGAAGGCTGTATTTTCAAGCCTTTGACTACTCCTTGGCTACATCTACACCGTCATGATTTTCCGAAAATGCTTTTAACGGAAAAGTTTTCCGTTAAAAGCATTTTCGGAAAAGCATGTTTAGATTGGCAGGATGCTTTTCTGTAAAAACACTTTTTGCAGAAAAGTGTCTGTGGCCAATCTAGACGTGCTTTTCTGCAAAAAAGCCCCGATTGCCATTTTCGCGATTGGGGCTTTTTTGTGGAAAATAGTACTATGCTGTCTACACTGGCCCTTTTGAGCAAAAGTCTTCTGGAAAAAGACTTTTGCCCGAACGGGAGCAGCATAGTATTTCCGGAAAAGCACTGACGATCTTACATGAGATCATCAGTGCTTCTGCGGAAATTCAAGCGGCCAGTGTGGACAGCTGGCAAGTTTTTCCGCAAAAGCAGATGATTTTGCGGAAAAACTTGCCAGTCTAGACACAGCCCTTGTGTATGTACAACTTTATCCCCATTCTTTGAGTACACTAACCCATGAGGTTCTATCCAGCCAGGTACTCAGGGCACATGCTTATCTTTAAGCACACGAGTAGGCTCAGTGACTTAAGTGAGGCCACTCGAACGTTTAAAGCTAAGAAAAACTGGACACAATACTCTAGATGTGGCTTCACCAGTGCCAAATAGAGGGGAATAATTTCTTCCCTCAATTTGTTGGCAATGCTCCTACTAGTGCAGCCCAATATCCCGTTAGCCTTCTTGGCAACAAGGGCACATCGTTGACTCATATCCAGTGTCTTCTTTAGTATAATCCTTACAACATTTGCTGCACGACTTCTGATTAGCCAGTCAGTCTGCACCCTGGAGCAGTATATGGGAGTCTTTCATTATAAGTGCAGGACTCTGCACTTGTCCTTGTTGAACCTCATCAGATTTCTTATGGCCCAATCCTCCAATTTATGCAGGTCACGCCGAGCTCTATCCCTACCCTCCAGTGTACTTGTCTCTCCCCTCAGCTTAGTGTCATCCACAAAGTTGATGAGGGAACAATACATAATGATGATATAAAACAAAACCAGGCCCAGGAACAAGCCCTGGAATACTCTGCTTGATACTGGCTGCCAACTAGGCATTAAGCCATTAATCACTACTCGTTAAGCCCGATGATCTAGTCAGCTTTCTATCCACCCTATATTCCATTAATTCAGGCTATACTTCTTTAACTTGCTGGCAAGAATACTGTCAGAGACCGTATCAGAAGTCAAGGTATATCATATCCACCATTTTCTTCTTTTGCTAAAGTCAAGGTATATCATATCCACCATTTTCCTCTTATCCACAGAGCCAGTTATGTCGTCATAGAAGGCAATCAGGTTGGTCAGGCATGACTTGCCCTTGGTGAATCTAAGTTGGGTCATGTTGACTGTTCCTGATCACCTTCCTCTCCTCCCAGTATTTCAAAAGCTATTTCTTGAAGATCTGCTGCATGATGTGTTTCGGAACCGAAGTGGAGCTGACCAGGAGTTGCACTCATTCAACTGTTCACTGAGTAGTCTCCCACGCAAATGTAAATATGCAAATGATGGCTGGTTATCTTCCACCCAGCCATGTGCGGGGCTGCAGCAGCGCGTGGTGCTTCAGCAAGATGGGTGAGGAGGCGCCCAGCAGCACTGATCTGAGTGGTCCAGGCCTCCTATACCTGGCACTGCAGCCTCGCCTTCCCTTCCCCCGCATGTGGTTGGAACACCAGTGCTGGCTTCCTGCTGGGGGAGGCGTGGCATTAGAGAGAGAGCCCCAAGTCCTGCTGTGTGGGGAAGAGGCTCTCCTCCCCCTGGGCTGGGGAAACAGCAGTGTGCGAGTGCCAGCTAATGGGAGCAGCAGGAGGCCAAGCTTGGGACCGAAGACCAGTAATATGCCCCACCCTTTCATGCCCAGCCCCTGCCTCCCAGCCCCTTCACTTACCCCCACTGAGACTCCACATCCCAAGCCTGCTGCTGACTCCTACTCCTCCAGCCAACCTACCCCCAAGCCCACTCCTGCCCCCTCCCAGGCACCCTGCCCCCCAAGCCCACTCCTGCACCCTACCTCCCATCCAGACCTCACACCCTCAGCCCCTTCTCATCCCCCTCCCTATCCCACTCACTGGCAGCCTTGTCCCACATACAGAACCTCTCATTTTTGCCCCACCCCAGAGCCTAGGGGGACCCACAAAATTCAGTAACCCTGGAACCCCAGAAGAGTTAATCTGACCTGAGGACTTGAACCTCAGGCCCTCTCCCTTCCCCCACCATAGGGCTGGAGCACCAGGGGAGCGAGGTGTTTCAGTTGGGGGCCACATCAGTGAGGGTTGGGGGTTTTGAAAGGGGGGCTTTTTTTTCCTTCTTACTTGTGTGGTCCCAAACTGATTTTTTTCTGTGGATCAGTGGCCCCTGACTCCAAAATGGTTCCCCACCCCTGCCATAAAGGAAGACAATGCTGAAACCTTTTTGTGTTGGATATAGTATTTTACGTTATTTAAAGTGAAGCCTGGCCAACAAGCCCAGCCCCCACCTGGCTGCAGAAAGGGCTGGTGGCGGTGCCCCCCCCCTCCTGCCGCAGCATGGGTAGGAGGAGAGGGCATGATCTGGCTGTGGCGGACAGAGGGGGTTGGCGAGCGTAGCGAGCAAGGGGTGCAGGCCCCTAGTGACTTAGAAACAAGCCTTTCGGCTCATGGTTGTGTAAGGAATAGTGACCTCATCTGAAACATATACTAGATAATAGACATATTATCATTTATACATTTTTGTTAGTTTTTAAAAGATTTTATTACAAATGGAAATATCTCCTAAAACTAAAGTCACAAATGGGGCAAAATTATTTTTATTGTTTGTTGGATTCACATGCCGCCAGGCTGTACTTAAATATCCAGTAATCTTTCAGACTGTCTAGACTAGAAGAAAAGGACACCTTAAAATCAAATTCACTAAAAGATTGAAACACCACTTAGCACTCATAGTAGATACAAATTTAACACCCTTAACAGCCTGGTAGCCTATCCTTGGGGTAAGACTGGATTATAACATGACTGATTCGCATGATTTTAAAAATGTTAGTACTTATTGTAGATACAGGTTTAATTGATGTTTCAATCATTTTAGCTAATTCTGGTTTAGCATATACTTTTCAAGAAAAAATTTAAAAGATCTTCAAAGTATTTCAGAGTAGGTGTTAAATATTTTGAATCTAATTTATTGATTGGCTGAACACCTTTATGTTGCTGGCTACAGTTGTGAACCATCTATGCCTGCCAATACTCAACTTAACATAACCTTTAAAGTTCAGTCCAAGAATTGGTCTGAAGTTAGTTGACTAGTGTTCATTTTGAATCATATCCTCAGAAACAAGAGGCAAACCTCCTCCAGTTTCAATCACCAAAACCACAGTGATCGTACAAATAGGGAACGTGTCAATAGCCAAAGGAACACATTAATTACGGGAAAGGCATTCTTGTTGGGCTTTTATGTGTCCCTGAGATAAAGTGGGTAATGACAGTGTGATGGGAACACAGTAAATATTAAGGTAACATTAGTGCAATGACAGCAATGTATTTTGAACTAGAAAGAGTAAACAATGCAGGCCTGATATGCACCATGGACTAGTGTAAATCAGAAGTAAATCCACCAAAGTCAGGCCAAAGATTCATAAGAAGGATGCTCGAATTTTTAACGGTAGTAGAAATACTTTTTTCTATTGAGTGAAACTCCATTTATGTGTGTCAAACATGTGAAAGTTATATTTTATCGTAGGCCATAGCTTACTACTTCATGCCCATTCCTGACTCTGTCAATCATTATCCAGCCACTGTATCATTCAGAAGGTGGAGCTGAAAGGCAATAAAAATAAGAGGTGAGAAGAGCAAACAGGCTAATATTTATACTAGTATGTGGGGTGATTCAGATAAACCAGTCTTATGTTTTGCAATATTTCTTACTTTAAGATCCTAAAACAATTCTCCTCTCCCTGCCCCACCCCCTCACCCAGTTCATATAAAACTCACTCCGCCTTTAGCAACACCTTGCTATGCTGTTGTCTGTTAGTGCATGAATATCTGCCTTCTCTCTAGGAAAATGGACACTTACATCTCTAAAGCTGACCCTTCTATCTTGCTCTGCTTGGGTGTGACTGCAGCATTTGGAATAATCACCTTTTACAGAGCCAAGAAGAACCAGGTGCAGAAAAAGTATATATTTGGTCAAGGTTTCCTCCTGCTACTTTTATTGGGAATATTCTGTTTTGCCACACTGAAAAGTTATGTAAGTTTAACCCTGTTGCCTGTGGCATGTCTCATCTATTACGTTTACTTACCCGTTCAAATAATGTTACCTGTGGACAAGAAAGCTGTATTGATCACAGGTAAGAGGGAACATGCAAAGTTTGGTAAGCCAAATCTGCCCCTTTCACAGATATGCTATATAAATTTGTGTAATCTTAAAGGTTATTTGCTAAATATCTTGTCTTTTTTTTTCTTTTTATTAATTATCCTAGTGTTTTTTCCAGGTTATTAAATGTTTTGAAATCATGTAGGAAAACATTCTTTGTGCTCATTTTATTATTATCATTATTTATGGCTTTTTTATCTTGAAAAAAATTGAAGATAAGTTTTTCAAGATGCACTGCTAGTTTCTTTAACATTTATTAGTGAAATGCATATTATGTTCCTTATAATTGTTTAATATTTTAGAACTAAGATTTCAATGAGTAGGTGCATTTTACATTTTATCCTAATGCAATGCCTTAGTTTTACTTTGGAGAAATATTTTTTTTACCATGCACATGTGCACAATTATTTTTGACTTATGCATTTAAAAAGACTTAGTACCAAAGAATATCCAAAAAACTGATTCAATACAGTAAAATATTATACACATCCAACTTATACATTATTTGTCCATCTTTACAAAGTTATTAATGAATGAGAGATTTTCCTAGCAGTGGAAGTTCTTAAGTATCATGTGCTCATCTATGTTTTGCTCATGTATGAACTACCTATGACATGTTCTCTCTCATCTGCTTTTTGCTAAAAGATTTTATTTTGTTGTTTAAATATTTCAGTGTACTGTTTTATCTGGAGCAATTTGCTGCTGCTCATTTGCTTTACTAGCTTCCCCCCCTACTTTTTCTACCTGAAAGGGTGGATTGAATTTGCGTTGTAAAGCTGATTTATTTGGCTGAGAGTTTATACAGAAACTTGGAAAGTAATTTAGTTTGGATTGGCAAATGTTATTACTGAGATGAAAAAAGACAAATGATAAAACAACATCAGCAGCTAGGTCACGTCTATTCTTGTAGCTCAGCCAAGTTCTATCTGCTGCATCCAGTCATGGTTCATTTGTAGTGGTGTACGAAATGAGGATGGATGTGAGCGGTGGGTGAACAGGGAATACATGATTGTGAGTGAACGCACAAACCTGAATTTGATTATCCATAGCAATACTCTAGGTTTACACTGTGGACTCTGGAGAGTTTCTTTTCTCTTTTCTTTCTTTCAATATCTTTTGCAAGATGTTTAGATTTTGCCATTTCTTAATAAAAACCTGTCAGTTTCTTAGGGGGTATCTACACCAGATTGTGTGGCTTAATCAGTTGTGCTGCAGCTGATTATATTTCATTGACTCAAGTTCCATCCACCTTCAGTTAGTTAAAGAGTTGCCTTTGCATACACACTGGGCCTGCCTATAAGTCAACAAAAGTATAGCCTGTACTCTTTGACCTAGAAGGAAGTTCTACTGCTGACTAGCATGTAATCAGTTAAAACCAGGACTTATCCCCAACACATTTCTATGTTAAGTTATGCCAATTGTTGGCGCTCCAGTGATTGAAGCAATTTTGTGTGGAAATGCAAGTTCTGTCCAATTGATTTCAGTGTTGCTTTCTCCAATGTAGATGAGATTCAGTTTTAATGATATATGCTGTGTTTCTCTTCACCTTTCCCCCCAAAATTGTTGTGGAATCTTGCTGTAAACTCTTGTCACATTCCACTCTGGAGATGGCAGCATTGCCGTGGAGGAGGAAGTGATCTTTGTGCATATTTTAATCCTAGTCTTCACCACATCCTCTGGCAAGGAGTTCCACAGGTCGACGGAGCGCTGAGTGAAGAAAAACTTCCTTTTGTTTGTTTTAAACCTGCTGCCCATTAATTTCATTTGGTGACACCTAGTTCTTATATCATGGGAATAAGTAAATAACTTTTCCTTATTCACTTTTTCCACACCAGTCATGATTTTATAGATCTCTATCATATCCCCCCTTAGTCTCCTCATTTCTAAGATGAAAAGTCCAGGTCTTTTTATCTCTCTTCGTAAGAGATTCTATAGCTTGAAGGACTTCTGAAGATTCTATAGCTTGAAGGACTTCCAGACCCAAGTACATGCCACAATTCTCTGAAATGAGTGACAGAGATGCAAATGCTGTAAAATGCCTGAGAGGATGCTATGAAATAGTTGAGGAAGAGACAGCTTTATGTTTTGTGGGATGAATTTGTTGGGCACGTGCAACATTTTCCTCTTCAATCAGCCTTTGTAGGGTAAAGCATACTAAAGGTCAGATTAATGGTAGATTCTCCAGCTCTTGATGGCTTCCGTTAAGGAGTGGATGATGCCTTTCTGGAAGATGTGCTTTAGTGAAGCCCAAGTCATTGGGCCCCAAACAGGGGCAGCCGGGTGAAATTCTATGGTCAGATTAGTTGACGTAATGGTCCCTTCTGGCCTTAAAATTGATGTCCAGAACTATTGCTTTAAAGGGAGCAGGGTTGGCCGCAAATCAGGTTTGTATGAGAGAGAGGTAGATTGGCTGGATGTGAGAGAAGGGCCTACCAATCCGATGCAAGTAAATGAAATGTTGCATTTACTCCTTGTCACTGCTAAACCTGTCTGCTTTCACCAATCCCTGGCCCTTTCCCTCCTTAAGGTTGTGCTATAAATGGAGTTAAGCACAGATCTCTGTCTTGTATGTTCTCACTTAACAGGCAGGGCAGAGGAGAGGGCAGGTGGAGCATTCAGCACAAAAATGGGATTTTATTTCAACAAAACCCACCTCACCTTAATGAGACCTGCAACCTTTTTCATGTTTGCCCCGTGGGGATTCCAAGAGTGCATTGTTCTGGCATGTCAGAGCTATAGATAGCAATTGTCAGGAAAATTCTGGTGCTGTTCAGGAAAGTACAGATTTCATGGGGCTGATTCAGTAATGAATGTATTTGCATGCTAAATAACTCCTTCAGTCTGGCTAATGAGGCCATTCAGTGAATACTGGTACATTTAACTCAATTTGCAATTAATCTTTGTGTTCACATTTCAGGAACAATGCTCAATTTGGTTTTAGTGGCTAGGAGACAAATGTAACCCATAAAGGATGTGCTGAATGTGCTTTAATAATGCTTGGGTCTGCAGTCAAAACGTCCATTGATTCAGGATTTTTGCAACAGTAAGGACTGCTGGGCGGGGTCCAACAACAACACATAATAGTTTTACCCTGTGCAGTGCTTTATAGAGCTTAAGCATCATTACCCCACAGTGAGGTTGGTAAGTAAGGAGTATGGGCCTTGTTTAACACATGAGTAAACTGAGGCAGGAAGTTAAATTACTTTTCCATGGCCACAGAAAGAGTTAATGTCATGACTCGGATTAGGGCCCAGGAGTGCTAGTTTGTAGGCCTGTGTTAAGACATCTAGGCCATACAGCATAGTGTATTTGGATGTCAGGAGTCTCTACCTAATGAATTTCCATTACATGAACTAGCCAGTTGCTAGTGTAATGTCCTTAATTTCAGTGTATGCAAGAGCTTCTTTGGAGTACATAGGGTGCAGATGTCTAGCCATGCTGTTTAATGCACTGCTGGAAGGATACAAATCCATTATGGGAAGAGCGCACTACAAAACCCCATACAGAACAGAATAATAAAGAAGCATGGTATGACTTAACGATCTCTCTCTTCCTTACACATTCAGTTCTGAGACTCAGTGTTACAGCGTGTCATGGCCCCTCCCGCTGTGGCCACAGTTCCTTCTAGCTGAGCTCCTCCTGAACCATTTCCCAGGAATCTCCCTGAAAAGATGAGGGAGGACAGTGCTTCGCGCATGGTGAAGGGTCAAACAAGAGGGCCCGTTTGGCAGGAAGGGGAGGAGCCAGTATCTTAACAAGGCACGTCCAATTCCAACCCCCTCCCGCCTGTGAATGCAGTGAGCTCCTAGAGAGGTGAGAGATTGGTGAATGCATTCATGCGGTCACCAACCAGTTGATCACAATCGACTGGTCGATCCTGGGGAGTCTCCCGGTCGATCATAATCTCTGTTGGTGGAGCGGGGTTGTCACTAAGGCAGGCTTCCTGCTGGTCTTGGCCCCACACTGCCAGCCCATTCCCAGAAGTGGCCAGTGTGGCCCTATGGGCCCGGGAGTGTGGAGGGGGGGAGGAACAGGAGTCTCAATGCACTGCTCCAGCCTCAAGCACCATCCCCCGCAGCTCACATTGGCCAGGAAGGGGGAACGGTGGCCAATGGGAGCAGAGGGGGTGGTGCTAGCAGAGAGGGACAGCATGCGGTGCCATTTGCTCCCCCCCCCGCAGGGCCAGAGGGGCATGTTGGCTCCTTCCATGAGAGGCATGGGGCTGGGACAGACACAGAGACTGCCTCAGCCTCACTGTGCTGCTGACTGGGAGCCATTGGTCATTAAGTGCTGCCTGACAGGAGGCCACACACCAACCTCCAACCCCCTCCTGTAGCCAGCCCTTCATACCCTCTCCTGCACCCCAACCCACTGTCTCACCCCCTGAATCCCCTCTTAGAGCCAGCACCCCATATTGCTTCTTTCACTCTAAACCCCCTCCTGCACCCTGATCCCCACCCCAGATCTTAACCCTCTCTCAGAGCCAGCACCCAATATTCCCACCTGCACCCTGAACCCCTTCCTGTACGTCAAACACCTGCCCTGCTCTGACCCCCATCTCAGAACCAGCACCTCGCACCTGCTTCTGCACCCCAACCTCCTGCCCCAGCCCTGTGAAAGTGAGGGAAAGGGGGGGGGGGATGGAGTGAGCAGGGTGCGGCTTTGGGGAAGGGGCTGGGTCTTGGGGAAGGGGCAGAGTGGATCTTGGGTTGCCCTTACATTCAGAAAGAGCTCTTGGGCATAAAAAGGTTGGAGGCCACTTTTGTATGGTGAGTGGAGCCACACAGCTGTCACCAAGCGAGAAGCAGTCAAACAAATTAACGTAAGGGGCGTCTGCTGGACACAATCCCAGGGTTTTTCCTAAATGTGGGTATGTCTACACTACCACCCTAGTTCGAACTAGGGTGGTTAATGTAGTCAATTGAAGTTGCAAATGAAGCCCGGGATTTAAATAACCTGGGCTTCATTTGCATC